GATGCATTATATAAAGGTACAATTCCCAATGAGAAATGTAATTGTGTTGTATACCTACAATGTACCAATAAAAGAATTTAATACAAAAAACAACAACAACAAAAAAACAAGTGAGTGATAGGCTATCAATCCAGGACACATGATAAAATCTCTCTATATTTTTAAACCATTGTCTACATGATGTTATGTGGAAAATGTTAACAGGCTCAAACATTGGTCTACTTTTCTTTGAAGCCTATTCATGGTGATTCATTGAAGGATGATCATTACCTAGGGAACTGAGTTTGGCGAGTGAGTAAATGTCACAGGGACCCTTTGAAAATTGTTGCTAGAAGTTAAAAGCTTAAATTAGTCACTGCAAAAATATAGACAGGTTATTAACAATTTAGTATGTGCAGGTCACGAGGAAATATTAATTCCTCTGTATAGACCAGGTGTTCATTATGATAAAAAAGTGGTAACCATGGAGACAGAGCATGAAGTTTATAAAATTAAAACTCACTAGATAGAAAATGCAAATAACATAGGAAAATGAATCATGCCTCAACTGGTCATAGCTTGACTTCCTTAAATTTAAGACTTATGAAATTTGTTTGGCCACTTTCTGAGTAAAATTGCTCATTTTGAGATGCTGAATTTTCACTTTGGATACCTCCTCTTGTTCATTTGATAATGCCTTTCATGTAGAGCCAATTTAGACATGGAGGAATATATGTAGGGACCAAGTTTTATGTCTTTGAAGGGGTGACTTTTAAATTGATCTTGGAAACTTGAATGAATATTTGAATCTTGTATGCAGAGATTTATTGTAAATTTCAGTTACAGTGATTTCTAAATTTATTGCTTTTGGTAAATCATGTAGATGATCCAGGTAGAGAACTTTGTGGTATGAACATCAGTTTCTGTGTCATGGAATGATTTTTTTTAAATCTGTGAAATGGTAAGGTAGAGAGCAAAAATAAAAATAAAGTTTTTCACTCTTGCCTGTAATATTTAATTATTTATACATGTATTCCCTGAGCTCATTATGACAGCAGACTCCTTGTCAGTATATCTTCTAAAGATAGTGTTGTATGAATTAAAATTGTTCATAAGTAATAAAAATGTGAAAAAAATACTTACTTTCTGGAAAAATAAGGAGGTCATCAGATTTTCCACTTAAAATTCTTTAAAAGTGGAATAGAGGATTTTTAAAAAACTGATTGCAAGTGGTTCAATTGAGGAAAAAGTCCCATATAATGCTATTCACAATTTCATTTGATTGTAATTTGGACCCACATTAATGCATCTTGAGCTCTCATTTCTCAGAAGAGTGAAAATAAGTGGTTGCCCTCACTCTGAGATCCGGAGTGAGGCACTGCTTTTGTGAGTGTGCCTGTTAACACAAGTGATATGTGGTGTGCTATGGAAGAGCAGGAACATAATCTTTTCATTTGCTCAGTAAGACCCTTAATAAATATTCTACTTATTTTTTGTCACCAGGCTATTAAAAGGGATGTATAGAGACAGTAGAGGACCCAGGAAGGAGTGGCAGAGTTGACTCAAGTTATCCAAAATTGGTTCTGCAAGATTGTCCTCCAAGTGTATTCTGTAGTTTGCTTGCATCCCAATTATATGGAAAGTTTATTTTTAAATGCACAACTTTAAAACAAGTTCTCCAGGTAGTTCTTAAATTCACAGGAACTTAGAACCTTTGTTACTTGGGAAAAATTAATTATTGGGCAGATTATTTGGAAATAGCTCTAGAGGGAATGGAATGATGTTCTTTAAATTGATTAACTGTACTTTAATAAGATCTAATTAGAATTTCCCATAATGCTTTCAAGGACCACTTTTCAGTTACTGATAAAGTGAAATGTAGATTTTTCATGTTATTTGTACAAATATGAATAGCATTTTTTCATTATTTCTTATAGCTTTACATTTCTCTCTTTAAAATAATTTTTTAAATATATGAAACCATTCTAATGTTTTCTATAATTAGAAATATGCAAACACCTGATTCCTCAAAGAATACCAAACTATAGCACTGAAAGATATTCTGAATAACAAAATGGACACTATTCTCAGTTATTAAAAAGTAACAGTGCAGTCATGAATTGCATAGTTATTTCCTTTAACAAGTTTTTGTCAAAGATTAGGAAAAAGCATTAAATGCAATTCAATAGAGGTTATCAAAGAGGTGTTATGTTGTGGTTTACCAGTGTTTATTTTTCTGGTAATAGTATTAACTAAGGATTGAATTTATAAAGCCCTGGACCTATCTTTCCTAAAGATTTCTTCTCTCAGTAGGTATTTGGAAGGACATAGAAAACCTGTAGTGCTACTTTGTAAATTGCTGGCAGAAAGAGCATCCATATACTCTGGAACTGAGACCAGCAAGTAGCAAGATAATTACTCTATTATGAAAATTGAGTAGCTCTAACAAGTGTTTTCGTCGTACAGCTCTAACTAGCAAAAAGTGAGGGCTTGAACCTAGGATCCTATCTCTTTTTGTGAAGTCACACTGATTTCCCATAGTGCTCCTACTATTGTAATACTCACAGAGTGGCATTCCATAAATACATCTTGAATACATTAAAGACTAAAAGTTTAAGGTTTTAGTCAGCATAGAGGTCATTTTGGATCAATAGGTTAACATAGCCACCAAAACAGTGAGTGTGATCTTGGGATCTAGAAATAGAGTGTAATATTGCTCTTTTCAGTTTTGGACAGGCTCAGAAGTATGGAGTTCTTTTATGGGTTCTCTATTTTAAGCCAAACATTAAAAACTAGATATTAACTAGTATTGTGCAGAGACTACAACACTCAGTGAAAGATATAGTTGAAAGACTCTGGGATATAAACCAGAAGACTCATTGAAAACATTTGCTATTTTTTTTGATGCCTCCATTTATAGATGAGACCCTAAAGGAAAAGAATCAGACTGTTCTAGATTACTTTGACCCATTGATAAAAGTAATAAGGATATTTTAGCCCCCTGTAAGGGAAGGAATTTTCTACTTTGGTGAGCAGTGAACTCCTGATCTATGGGAAAGTTGGCTTAATGAACACTTTGATGGGATGTGGTAGAAAGAATTCAGACTTTAAAAAGATGGTTGAATTAGATGTTCTTAAAGATTGCTTGGGAATCTCATATTCTCTGAATCTCTTTCCTTCTTTCAGCCATCCCAAAGTCCTGAGCTAATTGTCTGGTGCTCATTACAAGGCTTCTTTCAAGAGTGCCTGCACACTGCTGTTTATCTTTCTAAAGCTTTACTTTTAGAATTTCAGAATGGATATCTTTATTCCAAAGTAGGAGGACAAATGGCCATTTTTTATTTCTGAAAAGACAAAATTTAATATTTCAAAAATATTTATACATATGTATATCTTGTGATATATTAATATCATTTTCATATTTTACCATTATCCTGTGTAACTAATGCTATTTCATAAACTATCTTGTTAGCTAAAGTGAATAGAAGAAGAAATGGATTCTGTGTATTTTATATAGATAAACAAAAATATAATCTGAGGATCAAAAAATAAATGATTAAGTTTTTGAAGGTAATATGTCCTTAGAAAAAGATTTATTATCGCTTCTTGGCCTTTTGGCTAAGATCAAGTGTAAAAAAAAGATTTGTTATGGAATACCGACAAAATGTTTTCTACCATTAGTAGCGATGAACTTAATAGACTTGGAAATCAAGTCATTTTATTGTATATTTCTGGATGATTAAATCTTAGGCGAATGTAGATTTTCATATTTCTATTCTCTAGGAAATGAGCTATTTTGATTTAATTTTGCAATAGTAAATTCTCTAAACATTGTATATAAAAGGATGTTTAATTTTTGAGTGTATGAGTACCAAAATATGTGCGGTATAAAGATCTAAAAGTATGTCGACAATGATCATCACATTATCTATTTGCTTTGCTACCGAGGGAAGTAAAACCTAAAATTAGATGTAGTCAAAGAATAAATATGATCAGTGTTGATTGTATGAAATGTTTTTCATCTTGTAAAGGAAGCCTCCTATTGTCAGTTGACAGAAAATATTGTCATGATTACAAATTTCAGAAAAGAATGAACAGAATACTGTTAGGAATCTGGGGAGACAAGGTTCACTGGCTTCTCTATAGCTGGCGTGAATCAGAAGCTGATTTATCCAGCTGGAGTTCAAAATTTGCCTACTTTGAGAGCTAACTTCTAATTTAATGCCAGAGTCCTTGTGCTCAGGAAAGTCAAAACCAATGAGTCCCCTCTGCGTTTACATTTGTCCCTTCCCCAAGAAGAGTAGGATCAGTTATAGGAAACCACTGTTAACTTAGTGAATTGTTTTTACTTGACAGAGTTTTTCATTTACTGGAAACGCGATTCATTTCATGGGCAAGCCTCCTTTTTTTTTTATTTCTGTGTGGAAATGGCTAACTTAAATATAATAAATTTTCTTAAATCATCATTTTTTTTCTGCTGTGCCTTGACTTATTTGTTTCCTTGTGTTTCCTTTGTGCTTTCTAGAAAAGAAGCTTAGCCTGCCACTGAGACAAATGAATCCTTAGGTGGACCAACTGACTTGATTTCTATTTTTCAAAATGGTGCTGTCAAAACAAGAACAGCAACGACAAAGACTACCTGCCCTGCCGCCCAAATCCCAAACCTGGGATCTGTGGAGACTCTGTGAATGTAGAAGTGGATGGGATAAATAATCACTTGATTCCATGGCAACCTTTCATTAATTTCAAAAGGTGATCTTAAGAGACTGAGCACATGAAAAAAAGATGCTACTGTGCTCATTCATTTTGATCAGAGAAGTCCTCCTGGATCTCTGTAAGTTTAACTAAATGCATTTTCCATACCTTTGAGTCATGGCAATCTGTTGTGGATAGATGATTTTTATTGTCCTTTTCTTTTTGTGCTCTTTTAGTTTGAATTTCACTTAGAAATTCTAATTACTCCTCTTATACTTAGGTGATGATAAAATTATCCAAAAATTTTTGCCAAGCACTCAAAATTATTCAGGATAAACCATAGCAATGAGATAATTTTTAATTCTAATGCATTGTTTCCTAAGTTTTGTCTCATTTAAATGGCACTGGAGTGAGGTACTGATGGATTATATTATAGATATTGTCACTGTGTCAATGACTAAGTTCACATCTCTACTGAAAGACCAACACTGGTACTAAGATCAGCTAATGACTAAGTCAGCAAAACTACTGCATGCTACTATGTTTGCTTTAGGCAATTATTCAGTTGGATTTTAGATTTAAATACCTGGAAATAGATTCTTGAGATGACAAGTTTCATGTAAAAGGTTTTTGAGAAGAGCCCTCAGTAAATGTTCTTGTAAGAAAATAAACAGGAGATTTGGGCAGAGAAGCAGACTAATCATGCAACCGTGGCCTCAGAAGAACCTGGAGAGTGGTATGGAACTGGGATGTCCTTTTACAGTTGTTCTAAACTGAAGTAAGGTGACTTCTATTCCTCTATGTGAGTTGGCCATTGACTGTGGCTCTCCCCTAAGAAGGACTTAAGGATAAGTGAGGTAATTTCAGAGAGCTCATATCTGATAGACAGCATTCCCAAAACCCCGAGGAAAGAATCTTGATGATCATCATAGTACCAACATACTTGTAAAGGTGGCACAGTATTCTGCAGTCAACCATATAAGAAACAGAAGAGCAGGTTAGCAGCAGGTCTTCTGCTACTGGAAAGATAAATTAGAACTATATTCACCGTACCTGCCATCTCTGGAACCCCAGAGTATGCAGAGAATACTAACATATTGGCCCTTCCTCCACATGTCCCACTAGGGATCATGTTTGAAAGGTGAAACTTAGATTCCTTATTCAAGAGATTCTTCTAAATTGAATAGACAATAGGCTTTGTTTTGATGCCAGCTGGCTAGTAACAGAATTCAGTGTTAATATTATGAACTTCTGTGTCTTGAGTTACCTTAAGTGGGTTCTAAAATTATTTTTCTTCTATAATTAGTTTTGTATTAATCATTAAGAAAATAGTAATTTTTCTTTCTATTAGATTTACTTGCAGTTATCCTATTTATTTAGATGTAGATAACATTAAGCATGTTAAATCTGTGTGACGCTCCACTCGTTGATACACAGACAGTTGCTAATCACTGTGACAAGGAAGCAGTTGATTGGCTTTCAGGCAATTTCAGGCAATTATGTGTCGCTGGGACTGTGCAACAATAGATGCTGATTTTTATATTAATAAAAATAGATCTCCTTACAAATTCATGTCTAAGATTTTTGGAAAAAAATATTTTGTATTTATAAGACTGGACTTTGGTGATAACAGGACCTTTGTGAATGCCTGGGAGTATATAGTTAAAGTATGGGTATCCAAAGAATTAAATGTGGCCTGTGAAGCTAACTTGTTAATACCTTGGGTCTCTCTACACAAGTGTTATAGCCAAGGCAGTCATGCAACAAAGTGATATGGATTTCCTCATTTTTTTCCTCAAATATTTCTGAGGCAGCTAAAAGTGACCACATTGATGATGATCACTTCCTGTGTGAGCATCAAGGCTGGAAGGGTGGAAGACATCTTGGAGGGGTTAATGCCTGAAGTGAATTCTATAAATTGAGTAAGAATCAATCAGAGTAAAGGCAGGAATATATCAAGGAGAGTTTTCTGGTAAGAGGGGGAAATGGGTACAAAGGACTTAGCCAACTTGTTTACAGTTTATGATTGCTAAAACACAGGCTAATTTTGTGAGAATAAGGAGAATAAGAGGTAAGCAGTGGTCTAATTGAAAAAATATTACTTGGGAGGTCTATATGATTTTTTTCTAAGAATCTGGTGAGCATTGAAATGTTTCAGCTAAGGAAGACTTTGATCAGGTTTGCTTCTGGAAAACAGATGGACCGCAATTGAAAGGGTGACCAGGGGAGACATCAAAACCAGCAAGGAGACAAGGAAGAGTTTGTAGGGGAATGGATTGAGGTGAAGTTGGTGGAAATGGCAAGGAGTGCACATATTTGAGAGAGCTTTAGCAAGAAAATTAAATCAATAGCAGGTCTTGGTAACTTATTGGATGTGATGTAGTGACAAGTAAAGAGGTTACTATGCTTTTGAGTAGACACCCAGATTGATAAGAAATAGGAATAATTTTTACTCCCGTTGGGGTGAGTAGCATGAACAGGTAACAGGTTTGCCTTGTGTGACCATCCATTGGCCTTGGGATGCAGAATGAGATAGGAATTGAAGTACATACAGATTGTTTAACCTACTAGTATCTTTTAAATTTTTTCACTATTTGGCCAATAAAAAACAAGCTGGAAAGATGAAGAAAGGGAGAGAGTGAGGGAAGAAAAAGGAAGGAGAGAAGGAAGGAAGGTTGATTAGAATTGACAAGAAAAAAGCCCTTATATTTTTTGAAGGCATTTGGAGGTACTTTTAACACTAAATAGATGCAGGCAGTATTGTTTTCCTTACTAGAAGCAATCAACTTGAGGGAGAGAGAGTTCCCGTCATGTTTTGAGTACCTGCAAAGGCAGTCCTTACTTCTTGTTCTTTTGAATCATATTGCTAGTGAAAACACCTCGCTTGTAGAGAACACTTGACTCATGGGATATACAGGTGAATATGTTGAATACTTTTAGCAATGGAAATAGTATTACCTGTGTTGAGGGATAGCTATGAAAAGGCAATTTTCTGATTTCTTTCAGTTATTATACAACAAGAAGCAAAGAATAGATTATATAGAGTGTAAATTAATAGTATGCTTCAGAAAATCACCAGGATAAGATCATTTCTAAAGCAATAGAAATAACACCACTATCAAAATATTATCAGATAGGATTTGTCACCAGAAAATGTTTCTTTCCTGGGTAAGGAGGATGTAATATTTTTTCCTTGTGACATTTATTGGACTCATTAGATTACCTTCAAATTTTTTCTCATTAATGTGTACTTTTTCAAGTTTGAAACTGGCCAGTTGATAATTAACACTTTTTATTTTGCATTGGCTTAAATTGAAATATATATATACCACATACTAAAAAGAAAGATTTATGATACACATTTGTTTTAATATTTGACCGCTATAGAAATATTTATTTTCTTTTTTATCAAATTCTGTTGCCTCATTTCATCCTGAGTATTGCCTAGCACACAAGATACAAGTACCAATCCTCAGCTACTGTAAGGCATTGGCAAAGTCTCAGGATGTGTAAACTTTCCTGGTGGAAAATTTAGATACTTTATTTTCCCTGGGAAAGTTGGAGAAACGCACAGGGTAAATAAATACATTATGTATTATGTGTGAAAAGGTCGGACTCACTTTAACTCTCTGATTTCTGATGATCTAACTCCAGTTTATTTTATTGCAGGTACTGAGTATGTGAAAGCTCTGCAGCCATGTATGTGCAGACTGTATGCTTGGAGTTGATAATTCTTGATTTGGAGGGGATTGGTGTGGTTAATACTGAGCAAGGTTAGTTCCCAGTTCCAAGTTAAGTTACTATATAACAAGAAGAAAAGAATAGGTTATATAGAGTACAGAATAATATGCTTTATTTTGATAGACACAATCTTTACTATTACCTGCCGTAATTACCTCAAATAATACTGACCAGCATATTTTCTCCACTCTGTTTATTGTGCTCTAAACATTCTTACTACGAGCTTCACTAAGATGACTGAATGAATATAACAATAGTCATTCTGCACAATTTCATGATTAATATGCACATCTAATTAAAATGACTTTATTAAACATTTTCAACTAAATAGTCTTATTTGCCTTAAGGAAAAATATCCTTAGTCTCTCCATAAAGAATATTGACACTATTCAGAATCAAAGAACTGGGTTTAAAGCTTGTGTTAGCATTTTGATGAAAGTGCATTTAATACCTTGACCATCTGGTAAGTCTGATCAATTATAGTAACTGATTTTGCCTTTTACTTATTTGATTATTAGGGACAACAGTAGATATTTGAACTTAGAAGTGAGTAAATAGCCATTTCCAGGAAGACATTTGAGAAATAGGAATTATGTGCATATTAAACAGGTTGAACAAAGGCTTTTTTTTAAGTAGGATACTATATTCATAAATAATACTGTCCTTTCGGCATTGGGCATTGCATTTAGAAAAAAATCAGGTCTTTATAAACACATTCATTAAAAAAAACACTTTGGCTAACAAAGATAAAAATTTGTGACTGAAGCAGTGAGGCTTCTAAACATACCTTATTATGAAGTAATTTAAAATCCTTTAGGGTCGGGGATTCAGCTCAGTGGTTCCACCACCTGCCTCACAAATGCAAGATCCTGAGTTCAATTCCCGGTACCAAAAAAAAAATCTGTTAGAAAAGCAGTAGGAATTGCCTAATGCACAGACTCTAACTGTGAATCTCAAGGTGACATTCTACAACATAAGAAATATTAGTGCCTAGGGTAGAACTAATAGACTCACACCCCAGGGATACTGAGGCCAACTCTATGGCCCAAGACAGGGTAGACAGAGAGTGAGGGTGTGACACCACAGTGCTGTCAAACTTCAGTGTGTCTGTAATTTTATTGTAGATCACTATCTTGTATCCTGTTTTCATCCTTCTGTGACCAATTTCTCCCTTTTGCTCACCATTTCAATAGAGAAACGAGCAGCTACCACCTCCTGCGCTACTTTTGATGCCTTCAGGTGTCCTCACATTTTCCCCCTTCACTTCCTCCTCACAACTCATCAAAACTATATGTCCTCTGAATTCCTGCCACTCTATGCCAAAGAAACACTCAGTTTAGGTAATTAAGGGTCGACAGGATCCTAAGGATCTAAGGATCTATGCTTATTTCTTCACATTTAATTGGGATCATCTCCTTCCTAAAAATCTACTCTGATTTCCCCTGGTTAAAGATAACCACCCCTGCCTTGGAACCTCGATGTTTGGGCACCTGGTTCTCTCACAATCGCATAATGTTTGTTGCACTTGTCCTGGTTCTTTACCTAGATTCCAGACTATACTGTAGGTCCTTCTAGGATAAGAACTGTGTCTTACTCATTTTTAATGCTTTTCCGGCTGGCGCCCTGCCTAGTCACTTCTGAAATGACAAATATGCATATTTATATTTTCTCTTTTCCTGAACAAATTATTTAAAACAGGAAAGTCTGATAGTCAGGAAGGTAAATGCAACCAATTTATCACCAAGTTCTACCAATATGTCTTCTTTCCAAGCTTTCCATCATCCTCTACCCACATTTGGGTTTGCATCTTCTTTCCGTTGGCTGCATTACTGGAACTGCTCTTAATGGACTCCCTTCTTCTAATTTTAACCATCCAATTCATCTCCATAGATAAGTGAATAATAATTTGTCAATGTGTACATTGGACATGTTCTTCTATAGTTTATGGAATAATTTCTAAAATTCTTAGCATGGGACAGGACTTTTATGATCTGGCCTCTAATTGTCCAGTTTTATGTCCTATTATTTCCTGCTTCAGTCATATTGGATTTTTATATAGTTTCAAATAGTGAAAGTTTCTATCTTATGCCTTGTTCTGAATTTTCCTGTTGCAAAAATGTTCTTATTCTGTCCATTTCTTTTTCCAATAAGCTTTTACCCTTATACAACATACTCCAGAGACTAAGGTAACATGCTCATTCGTGGACTCTACCATTACCTATAGATTCTTTAAACTCATAAAGTTTATTGGTCCCTCTGTACTTCAAATTTCTTATTTGTTAAGTGAGGCCAACAATAGTATCTGCCTTGTAAGTATGCTCATGCAAGCTATTAATGTTTATTTTATTCTTAAGACTTCATAAAGAATTTTAAGAAATGCAGAATTCCCAAGGATATGTTGTATTTCCTTCTTATGTGTGGCATAATTTCTGGTACAGATTCCTGGATTCACTACCTTTTGGCTGAATTGTCCATTATGAAATGGCCCCCTCACCAGACTGAAAGAAGAAATTGTGTTTTATACTTGCTTATAATAAATGATCAGGCTGGGGATTTAGCTCAGTGGTTCTGGCGCCTGCCTCGCAAGTACAAGGTCCTGAGTTCACTCCTTGATACCAAAAAAAAAAGAATGATTATTCTCAAAATGCATACAACATGTTTGTACAAACTTAACACCACAAGGAAAAGACCACAAGGGAAAAAAGGTCAAGAGCCCTTTGAGTGTTATAAGGAAGACAAGAGTTCGAAAAGTCATGGGTACTTTAGAGAAATTAAACTAGACATTAGCTTTAGAGAAGCACCAGAACTAAGTGTATTTTCTTTAGACTTAAAATGTCTCTTCAGAAGAAAAATATATGTCTACTAACCCTTACTTTAAGATAAAATTATTATTTATTTTCTCATGAACATGATAACAACACTTCAGGCACCTTAACAGATTTCACATAGAAAAAAAAATTATCCCTCTTTAGAGATAAACAGTGTCATAGAATTAGTCTACTTGTCTGTGGGTGCAGAGCTAGGAAGTGCTCAATTTGAATCCATCTGTCTGGTTCCAAAGCATGGATTCTTCCCATTACACAAGCCATTCATTCATAAAGCATTTATTGATCATTATTATTATTATTATTATTATTGTTATTATTTTTGGTAATGAGGATTGAACTCGGGAACTTGTGCTTTTGAGGCAGGCACCAGAACCACTGAGCTAAATCCCTGGCCCAAGAATAATCATTCTTATATATCTTTTTCTTTATGTGCTTTTATTAGTACATATTTATAGTACATAATGATTACATTCCCTCTCTTTCTTATCGAACTTTTTATTTGAAGAACAGATTAATAAATAAATGTTGGTTGATAAAGATGAGTAGGATCCAGGAAGCCTCAGTGGCAGCTGAACCACCTTGGATCTGTGAGGATTCATTTCATTTGAAGTAAAATCCCAGTGAAGAGTTAATGCAAATATTGCTTTGAACATGAAAGAGAACATAAAAGAGATAGAAGGTGCCATACTTTCTCAGCAGGAGCTGATACTCTATTTGGCAAGATTAAAACATGGCTGTACAGAACAGTTAAGGAGCAGAACTGGAGAGAATGTGATTAAGTCCCCACAGTATTCAGAGGAAGAGAAATTAGAAATTTATGCAGGTGAGGCTGAAGTCAGAAGATTGGAAACTCAAATATGAGAGAGACAGAACCTCATAAGTATTTGAATGCATCTGATGAGCCAGTCACTGTGATAGTGGTGACCACATTCTCTTGTGTGTTTGTGTGTGTGTGTGTGTGCACGCACACAGGCATACTGCAATTTTTAATTAATTCATTCTTGCAGTATATTATTAAAAATTGGCATAGAAAACACAGCATAAATATGCCATCTTATCCCTTTTAAGTGTACAGTTCAATAGTGATGAGTATATTCATTGTTGTGTAACAGAGTCTGAGAAGTTTTTCATCTCACAAAGCCAGAATTTTATACCCCATAAACAACAACTCCCCATTTTTCCTTCATCGTGGAAATATATTCTTTTATCTAATCTCTATTAAAAATCTGTGTGATATTATTAGATATGTCATTTTATAAGGAATTAAATGAGGTTTACAGGTTAAGAAGATTTTTCCAAGATCTGATAATTAATACAGAACCAATGAAACATGGGTCAGAAAGGAAATAGACTAATACTCTATAATTTCAGATGAAAAACCAGAAGACCTATATGTTCCTTTTTTGCAGGAGTTGGTTTAGTGGGCCATTCATGGACATGGTAGCTCTTCTTTCTATAAATTTCCATATAACACCTAATATTTCTCTACTTTCAAAAAGTCTCCTTCTAACATCTATTCTGGTACAATTTAAAATATCTGCTTAAAGGCTTATGTGTTCAGAGGTGGAGTTTTTGGAAAGTAACTGGGCCATGGGAGAATCAATCTTTTTTTTCTTTTTTACTTAAATTCTTTTATTGGTACATTTTAGGTATACAATACATTTACATTTATCATTGGGTGCTTGTACCTGTACATGATGTATCTTGGTTCTTAT